ATAAACTAACTATTTCTATCTTATTTTTTTGATAGAACGGTCATAATCAAGAGGGCTACTGATACCGTGTTCTAAAAATAAGGTAATTAAGGGCTTATTTTTTGGTATTTATTATAATTTTGCTAATATCTTCGGTTTGAAGGGAGATATCAAAGTGCGGTTTTCGCTGACTTTTTAAGCTTTTACTACTCTTTACTATCAGCTAAAATTGCATATACTAACGTATTTAATTTTTTTGAAAAAAACGTGCTAATATTTGTTAAATTGTAAGAAAGCGCCCCCTAGCGTCTACGTTCAACACCTTATTATTATTATTTTTATGGTATAATATAGAGTAAGAAACGCTCTTTTAAACGAGCCCTCGTTTATTGGATTCTGATCATCCAGAGAGTCCGGAGTTATTAACATTTAAATAAAGACTGATCTAACCTTCCCCCACCACTTTATTTTAGCAGATAGGGTAAAATGGTTCTAACAAAAAAATCCAAAATTTACTAAAGATTATGAAGCTATTATTTATAGTACCCATTATCTAGGCAAAATTCTGTAAAAATTATATTTTCTTATTTTCCATAGCAGTTGCGCCATCTGGTGGCCGTTTTACAAACTTGAAAATAATTTCCAGCAATTTCTCATAGCCCTTTTTGTTATAAATATTTTTTTCCGTAGGACCTACGGCTAATACTTTCCGAGATACAGCCGAGAGCTATTCTTAGTGGGATACCTGGTACGTAAATGTAGTTGCGCTTGTAGGTTTGTGACATATCTCTATTTCTGGTACAGTATTGGAGTTTTAACTCTGATTCTTTAAAGAAGACTTTTATTATCGTGATCAAATACTACCGGCATCGGCATCCAGAAAATTCATAGAAATTATTGTTAATATTTCGATGAAAAATTTGCGACAACTTTCACGAAAACTTAATTTCAAAATATTTCGGATACAGCGTTCTGTACAATCATGATCCTATTAACTTATTTATAATTTTCGTTTTAATTATCGTTATAAAAGACATATTTTCTCGAATAAAAACCAACTGAAACTTAGATGAGAGCCATTTTTCCATTAAGCTCTCAAAAATGAGCGGCTTTACTTTAAAGTCCATAAAAGAAACTACATATAATGATAATTGGCAATTATAAACACAAATTTTGATAATACAAAACCTTTCCCCTCTCCCACCAGCAGCAGTTAGAATACAGATACAATAAATGCCTTTTATGTAGACTAAAACTAGTTTAAAAAGAAAAATGTTTTACAGATAATCAGTTTGATATAAAATAAGTCTAGCACAATAGAAAAAATAGAAAATATATATTCAATAGAAATATATACGTAACTTGTTTTATGACACAAATATGTTCAAAGCATGGATGAGCAGATGAAAAAAAAACAAATTAAATGTATGAGGTTCTTCCATTTCAAGGTTCTCTCATCGTCTCTTTGTCTGATATTGTGACTTACTTTTGTTTGATTTCACAATCCGTTCATTTTGCGCCTAACACCGGTATGAGGTCTGGCCAGAGGGACAACACCGGTACGAAGTCTAAGGAGAGTTAAAGAGGCGAAGAAAATGGAGACAGATCCTCAGCCTACACCTCACGGGTACCTCAGCCGGAGTCAAGCTCCTTGACTGTGAAAGAGCTCGGAGGGCCAAACACCAACATGGAAGGGTGTGTACCCTCGGAGGAAAAGAACATCTGTTGTCAGAGGAGGATGGGAAATACCCTGTCCCTCTACAACAGAGGTATGATGGGTTAGACTGTGTAATGACTGACTCACGGAAGGGGCGACAATCGATGCTAAGGTCGCAGTGATTAACCCCCTCTCCCACTCATTCCCCCCCTATATTCTACATTCTACATCTATCCGTCATTCTGTATGAGCAGATAAATAGGAGCAATTTCAGCTATAACTCCTATAAGCTTTCCAAATACCATTTTGTATGTGCTGCATACCATAATAGACATAATGCGTAGTCTTTGCATTAACGCGATCGTTAGTGACTTTATGCCGGTGCAGCATACAACAGCTGCGATTGTACCACTAGCAGAGTACTCTTCTTTTGGATGCTCTAGCCAAACTAACATTTAGCGGTAAGGCTAAAGCGGTGACAGTTTTAATTAATATGGTCCGCAGAAAATGAGTATATATGTATCTAAATTCACTTCTCATTGCAGCTATAAATTCCCATTTTAAATACTTACTACAAATTTAAAATATAATTAATTATGAGAAGAGGAAGGGGGTATACATAAACTTTGCACATAACAGGAAATCACTAAAAGTAGAAAAGATGATATATAACAGCTCCAGCGTATTTCTTTTCATAAATAATTGATCAAAAGGCGGACGAAAACAAGGGGGTGATCTTACTTAAGACAGACAATGGATTTTTCGAAATTAATGATCTGTTTACGAAAACTTCAAGAAGAGAGCTATTTTTCGAACATCCTAATAGTATTTTAATGTAATTTTTTAACAATATATCTCAATATACAATTACGAACTTTATGTTCATTCGTTTTATATTCATCTCAGTAATGTATTTTTAAAAAGTACTGACATCTGCAAACTGTTCTATAACTTTCTAATTTTTTGAAGTGAAACTTCTTTACGCACGATGGAGGTAAAAATTCAAATTCTCTTGACGCATGAGTTAGCGAGAAAAAAAGGGTTGAGTCAATCAGGAATTTTTGGTTCGGAATTCTATATTCCGAACCAAAAAAATAATTTCGTTTGGTTCGGAATATAAAATTCCGAACCAAACTTCCGTTCAGTGGTTCCGGAATTCGGGAAAAAGATATTTCATGATATTTGATGATGTTTCGCTAGCTTACGAAACCGCATTACCAATGGTCAAATCAAAAATCGTCCGATATAAATGAAATTTGGTATGTTGGACCAAGACCAACTGACCGTATACGACGCGTGTCACTGTGACAGTTTTGACGTAAGAAATGGTAAAGTTGATGACGCCCGATCGACTAAATTTGGTCAGGTAGGCCATGGGCGACGGTGCACACAGTCCCACCCTGCAATTGGATACGACGCACACTGGGGTATTTGACACAGATAGTTGATCGAAATTTTTTTATGTAGACCTTATATAAATTATTGCTATTTTCAATTAAAGAGGAAATAATATGAACAAAATAAAGGATAATTCGTCGATTCTAAAGAAAGAAAGAAAAATCACTGTTCCAGTGTTTCCACGGTCAATGCCACTAATGCCAGTAGTAATATCGCAACTAATACTACTAATGCTACGACTGATCAGCGAGCAATGCCCATACCACTAAAGTCGCTACTAATGCCAAATTGTGCTATACTGCTAATAGCACTAAAGCGATCGCTTTGTACACAACAATGTCATCGCGGTTTACACCTCGCATTAGTATATCACTGATTGACAAATTAGAGGAAACCAAGAATGTTTTTCTCATTTTATCAGCAAAGTCGCAAAAAGTCGCAGTATTTTATTCTACTGTATGAAAGCCAAATGTTTACTAAGTAAAACGTATATAGACAATATGCTGAATTCTTCGAAATGCGTAACTAAATCTCTAAGTAAAATAAAAATGTCACAAATTTAATCAAATTTTCTTAACGCTTAACTTTTAGTTGCAAAAAAAATCGTTACTATAGAGAATATCAAAATAAATAATACGTTTTTGTAGAATACATACCTGCAGCTTGCTGAGCCATTTTCAATCAAAACAATAATATAAACGTAAAAAGAGCACAAGAACAACAACAATTTATAATTTTAAACATAAAATGTAGCCATTTACCTCTTATCTGTGAGAAGTAACAACTTTGACGTTTCGTTGAAACAAATGAATGCACCTAAACACACCCAAAGACATCTAAATATAGGTAGACAGAATACTCCATTCATAAAACTCAATTTTTTAGAATCATACATGGTTTGACACTTTTATGAGAGTTAAAAGAGATAGATTTATAAATATGACAACACGGTTGAGTTTCGTCTGTCTTTCTGTCATTTCACTCCATCAGTGGCGTGACGGTGGTGTGGTGTTTTTTTATCAAAAATTTTAAAATAGTTATTTTGTGTATTTTAATTTAAATTTTAATTTGTAATATACGTAGTAATATCGATAATATACAATGTAGGGGCGTTTGCACCAAGTTTTTTAAGCAAAACTTAACACTATGTTTAGCTTATTTTCTTGCACTATGCTTTAATCTAACTTGAATTTATATTTAAATTAAGCGGTCAAATTTCCAGGCTAGTGGTCACTTAACCTATCTTAGACACAAAAATATTGTTTTACGAGGAAGAATTATTGTTATTCCTTTGAGAAAGCTAAAAAATGTATTATGATACCTCTACGTAAGTTCGATGATTACTTTTGATATCCTAGACGTCGATCAGTAGGTATATTCATTGAAAATGGATTTCCTCAAGAATGGATGTAAGGAAAAATCATATTGCCAAGAAATGAACCTCCTTAAGTTTTTAGGACAGAGACTTTTAAACGACACTGTAATATATATCATTATTAATTACCTCGGTTTAATTGAACAAAATCTAGAATATCAAAATGAGAGGTAAGTTGGAATGCTAGTAAATCTAATGTAAGATAAATTAATTATATTTATACTTTGAACCATTGTTCTTTAGTATTTCCAGAAACAACAGCATAACTGCCATAAATCAACAACAATTTTATAGTATATTTGGGTTTCCTGGGATTATAGGGATAGTTGATGGAACACAATGTAAGAAAACATTCACCTGGTAAGTACCTATATATTTTCTTCATCTTCAATATTTATCAGCACAAGATTTCTTATACTTTACAGGGGTAATGATGGAGAGGTGTTGCAGTAGAAAGCATTATTTTCTCCGACATTTAAATTACTGGAAATGCTAGTCTTAAAACTATAGATAATGAACATGATTGCTTGTTGTCATGGGTCATGCATGGAAAGCCACCATTTTTTGGATAATTAAGGACGTATTGGACCCGCTTGGAGACTGGTGACTTTTCAAATTAAATCCTGCTTGGTTAGTGGTCCATATATTTACTTATTGTTAGATCATTTATATAAAATATATTCCTTAAATATTTGAGTAGGTATTCAATTTAGAAATATATTACGAATAAGATGAATTGAAAGAAATTTTTTAAAATTAAATGTGAAAATATTCAAAGGGTTCATATACTCTATTAAATTATTTTATTATCTGTTATAAGGTGATAGTGCATATGCATTGAGGGGATATATGCAGAAAGAGAGCTGAAGAACTGTATTACTGAAGAAATGTTTCAGAATTATCGGAATATGGAAACGCCACTTTCCAATATGTTTTATGGTATAAGACCAAAATTGCAAACCACAATGTCAGTTATTGTTGCACAACAGTGAGTTAAGAAAAATATTATCTGTTTAATTATAGAACACAATTTAAAAATTTTAATGTATGTACTTAAATTTTTAGATTTTGTTGTTTCAATGTGCTACACAATACAGCCAGAATGATACCTGAACAAGAGCTGCCGCCGTTAGATGAAATAAATATGGACCAAATTAATAAGAAGAGAAATAATAAATTATTTTGAAAGATTAGGGCAATATTTTTTTAACTTATTCTAAACATGTTTTTATGTTGCTAATGTTGCTGTTGTTTTTTTGTTTTTGAGTATTAATTTCTATAAAATATCATTATTAAATGTCTTTTATTCAGAAATAACATACATTACAGTTTTTACATTACAATATAAACAATAATTAAAATTATTAAATAAGTTCTCTTTAAGAACTTCACTGTTCTTTTTTTATTTCAATGTCTACAAGAACCCTTTTTTCTTTAGCTTATGTTCTTCTCTGTTTTGAATACTACTACTTTGAATTTTGCCCATCTCCATATTACAAAGAACAGCCTTTTGTCTATTAAATTACTATCTTCCCTTTTCTATTCCCAGTTTCTTTGTAACCATCAGTATTGTTTGAGACTGAAAAATATCTAATTATATTGAATTCTCACCAAAAAGTAATAGGGAATTAGCTTGACAGAAAGGTTAGTACTTACAATACCAGTACTCCTCTTAGTTTTTAGACAATCATCGTATGTTTTTAATCCCACAATGCTCTTCTCATTTTACATTAATTGAATATATTATTATCTTCCGTTTTTGTTTTTTGTATACGTAGACCTCCACCAGTTAGTCAAAATATATTTTAATAATTGCCTTTCTTTTACATAGATTTATACATATGTTGTAAGCTGTTTTTCTTTGCGACTCTATGATTGGCCTTTCTTTTAAAGTAAGTCCAATAATATACAATTAAATTATTTCAAAATTATTAAAAAGTATGTTGTTCTTATATTTTGATAATTTTTTATATGAATATTTTGTAAATCCATTCTGAGAGTTAAAAATATCAAAAATATTGGGCCAGTTTATGTATCCCTTATAAAATTCTATGTTTTCGGTGAATAAAATTACAATGTTAAAGCAAAGGATAGTAGCAGAGGATTGGATTTTTGTGTGGCAGGTCCTTTTAACATTCTTTCAAAAATACTTTGTGCTGGCCCAGCTAGGGAAGCCTAAAAAAACATATATTATCTCTGTTAATATTATATCTCTATAATATTATTATTAGTCTTTTTTAGACACATCCAAATTCACTAAAGTGTTTTAAAATTTAGACCTGGCCTTGTCATGGAAATTAGAACCTTCCATTAATCGTATTTATGCCACTGTCATATGGATTAGTATATCATTTACAAAATTAAACCAGAACTAAATTTAAAACTTTTTAATGAATCTTGGCAGATTTTGGCATAATGGCTTTAGGACTAAATTAATAAATGGCTGATAACTTTACATTATTAGAGTTCCCCTCCGCCACTCAGATATATACATATATAGTGCGTCCAAGATAACAATTATAAGCATTGAAATCTCAGAAAGGTAAGAGATACAGGGTCAATTAGAAATTGCTTTTAGCGATTTTTGTTTTTTTGGACTTCACATAATAACCATTATGTTTTTAAAATGTCACCCTGCATACTATATTTATACTTTATGGTCAATTCAGATGGAATTCACTTATCAAAGATTTTTTCTTTTAAGTAATCAATTAATTGATGCATTGATGTTATTTATTTTCAATGTCTTAGACCCATTTGCAAAGTATGTATTTTTTATTTTCTTTGTTCCCAAATTTTTATGAGACTTAAATTTCTACATAATATCATTATTATACCTCATTAACATACTTCTTTCTGAAATTAAATATCTTTTGCACAATTTTACTTAAAATACAGGGTGGCGCCCCTCATGCTACCAAGGAGTACGACAGTTTGTATTGAAATTAAATTTTGGGGGCATATGTAGGTTAATTTAGAGTATTTAAACATATAAATGTATAAAATATGTGCTTTTTAAAAATAGAGAGTTCTACAGGGTGTCGCCAAAAAAGTTACACAACAAAGTTTTGTTTTTGTAATATTTGATTTTTGGATTCTATGAGAAAAATAAAGGTGAATTTCATTATTGGACTAAAATGTAAGGTTTTTAACATATTTAAAATTTTGTACTTGAAATCAGATTACAACAGGACTCAAACAGTTATACAGGGTGACAAAATTAATATTGAATATTGACCACTTTTAAAAGCAAGTTTCTCTTTTATTTCAAATGGAACACGCAGAATACTATTCTGATCTTTTAATTGTAGTGTGCATTCATCAATTAATAGAATGCTTAAATGTCAAATGTATGAATGTGTAAAGTACCATTTAGGTAGCTCTTACTGAAATTTAAAGTTTATTCATTATTTTCACCAAATGTGATATGACAAGCCTTACATTTTAGTATTTTAGACATATGCTTCTTTAATGAAACTCACCTTTATTTCTTTCCTAGAATCCGAAAATCAATTATGTAATTTATAGGGTGTTCCATTACAAAAAAAAAACTTTGATGCGTAACTTTTTCTGGGGACACCCCGCAGAACTCTTGATATTTCTGTAAAACACTTTCTATTATCCTACATATGCTTCCAAAATTACATTTCAATATAAACCACCGCTCTCTTTGGAGCCACCGCGTCGTATGAGAGGCGCCACCCTGTATAATATAATGTACAGATAATTTTTACCTTTTTCTGATAGGACTTCTTGAGCCAATAAATATCCAACTATTGAAAGATCAGAAAATGAGAATTATCTTACTATGCTGTAAACAAAAAAAAACATTAATAATTAATTTTTCAATAAATAACTATACCTATTAAATTTATCATGGGAAGTTTAAACGAGAAGGTTTTCTAGTGCAAAGAGCAAAAGCTCATGCATATAAAATATATGTATGTATGTAAACAATATTAAAATACATGTATAAAATATATTTTATCAATGGTCTTACAAATTTGAGGGGCCAGCCAAGGAACAAGCCAAACTGCCAGTCCCTCAGCTGGTCTGGAGGCTCATTTACGTAAAATATTTTTTGGGTGGAGTGCACACAACTAGAAGAAAACCTATCTTAAATAATACTAATATTGTTACAATACTTATTAACTGATAAAATGTATTTCACTGCTTTTTACCTGCATGATAAGGCACCAGCAAAAATGGTAGTATCTATTTGAGGCTCAGCATTTGGTCTTATTTGCCTTCAACCATTTTATTCGGTGATCATAATATCACTCTTATCAAACTTATCACAACAAATTTGATTGCACACTTTTGATTGATTTTCCAAATTCTAGAGTGAAATCCATCGTTGTCTACGCTCAGTATTTACAGTAAAGCTACAAAAATACTATTGGTTACATATGCAACACATACATAATATATATTAAATATATAATATATAGTATATAAAATATGTAAAATAATAAAAATATGTGGTAAAAAAGGCAAAATTAACCTAAAGGAAAAATCTAGGTTTATACATATACTATATAGTTATTTTATTATTTTTTTAATTTGACTGTAGGACAGACTTATATCTTTATAATAAATAAATAATAGATCAATCTTACCTATAATATATGTTACGGTTAATATCTAAAACCTGCTAATAATAACTAGAGCTCAAATATACCATTTAGATGGCAAAAACAGTTTTCTTTCAACATTAGGGGAAGAATTATATAGAAGAGTCTTTGGCTAAAGTCTGAAGCTCTGGTCTGAAGTAATTGTAAAAATGGTGATGGTACCTTTTAGGTACGCCGCTAATCTTAAAGTTATTGATGTAAATTTGATTGATATTCTACAAATAATGTATTAACTGTTTAAGTACGGATATTCGGCTAAATGTTTGAGATCACTTTATTATTTATTTTTTGACAAAATTTGAGGTTAGAATATACCTTTTGCTCGCGTCTGCGCGTATGGCTGGCGGTAACAATGAAATATTGAAAATCTGGATTTTATGTTATTTATATTTTCCTCAGAGAATAGATTTTCCTATTAATTTTGAAAAATAGCGATAGCGATTTTGATATTCAACTTTCAGGTATTAACTACCTAAATAGCTGTTTTATTGGTACAGATATTAGCCATAACATACACAATTTTTAAAACATTTCCTATAGCGGTTTCGAATGTGAGTGTAATTCTAATTTCACAATCGAAAACGCTATCTAATAATAAAATATACGCATTTTTAATAATCTACGTATAGTTCTAAATAGTAGAGACGCCACTGTTAAAGCTAGAAAGACGTAATGTTACTTACCGCCGAAATATCAATCCAGGGATAGAATAATCCACCTTTTTACAAATTATGCACTTGCGAACCATCGTATATAGTTAAAATACTACTTTGAATAATTTTCTTCGCAAAAAAAATGCAATAATTGCTTGAAAACCTGTTAAAAACCAAAAAATTCACAACCGCAAAGGAAATCTCGCAACAACGGCCTGTAAAACATTTGATGAATGAAACCTTCAAAAATTAGCGTAATTCCTACAGATTCCTACAATTTGTAGTAAAATCTCAACCACAACGATGCCAAGCGTTGCCACAGTAATTTCCCTAATATATTTTAATATAATAATTTAAAAAGAAAAAATAATTTCTAAAAATAATTTCAAAGATATAATCTATGTATTTTAATTAAAATTATATACCTACACAAATATTTAGTTTAACGTATCTATCGTACCCAAAAAACATTAATAAGAATAATAACATTTTTAACAACAAACTGCAATCTATAAGGCGCAAAGGAAATCTGTCATCTCATCTGATTTTGTGCAACACGGTTCATGTTGCGGTAAAATGTAAGTTGATCTCCCTTTATTTAGATGTCTTTGAACACACCCATAGCAATGTGTCATTCATGGCCAGAGATGATTTAACTTATCATTTATGCTTTTTGAAAATCACCAAAAACATTTGCTTTCGAATTTCGATCACCTTTTTTCATGCTAATACCCCACCGTGCGACGTTTCGGTTACATTTTCATCAGGTGGGACTAAGTATTTGATATTGAAGAAAACTGTGGATTTAGGCGCAATTGGGGACAGGCTGCAGGATGACACCATCCGACGTTTCGAACCGATGCCTCTAAATGGGCGCAATCGTCAGGATTTTCTTAATTATTGGTCGATTGGAACCAAACTCGGCACGTGCATATAGGTATCGAATGGGTCCTCAGACGGACAGACGTCAAGTTTTGGCCAGTCGTAAAATTCTGTGAAAGGGAATCAATTTATTTATTAATTTTTAATATATTACTTTTAGTTATTTCAAACTACACTTTTTCAAATATGTCCTTCAAATCCTTCAATTTAATAGCTGTAAGTAAAAAGTCTCACTTCAAATACGCGCACATGGTGCACACACACAATTTGTTTATTGCAGGGGAGCTAGAGATGTCGGCATTGTTGCGAACCCATATAAAGTAGGAGGAAAATCTTTGAACGGTGGCATCCTAATAGCGGCAGAATTTTTTGAGAGGCACACTGTTAAAATTGTTCCCTATTAGATTTGCTTAAGCGACATGAAAACATACATTTTCAACAATAGTCAATTAAGCCCAAACTGTTGTTAAACTAACTACCATTAGCTACTTTGTGATTTTCCTAATTTTACTGTTTTATTGGTCAATCCATCTGGAGGCACTGACATAAATTACTATATTTTGTCTGTTTAGTCAATTTTCATCATTTTAATAATTAGAGCAATTGGAAGATTGTCGGGGAGAAACCATAGATGTCACAAAATTTTTAAAATTGGGACAACACTCCATTTGTAGATTACGGCAACTACTGGTAGCTCATGTATTAATATAGGAAAACGCTGAATGTGCCGAGATATTACACTTTTAAAATATCCTATATAGGGAGAAAACCGTGGATGTCCGCGCGTAAACGGCGAAAACAGTGTATGTCCACTTAGGAGGATCTGGTAAAGTTAAATTTTATTTCCATATGTGATTTGTTTTTAGTTGTTAAGTGTGTATGCACGTGGTCGGATCGTTTTCGTAGATATACTAAACAAAGTGATACAAGAGGTGTTTAATATTGTTTTCAAATAGTTGAATTATAATGGCAGAAATCAAGGCAAAAAAGGAAAGCTTTCTTAAAAGGAAAGAAAAAATGGACAGGTTATACGAAGTCATGAAAAAAATCAGGCTCCAATCTCACGAATTTGGTGATTTTTGCAAATGCAAACGTTTAAGGTGCACTGAAAAAGTAAGTGACAATAAGAGAAAAGAAATATTAGATCATTTTAATTCCTTATTATCCCACAATGAACAAAACGCATACTTGTGTTCTCTAATATCGTTAGTAAATATTCAGAGGCGTCGATCTAGAGCCAAAGATCAGCATAATGCAATGTTCCACGATTCGGTTTATATGTACAGGGTTAGGATCAAGTCGGATATGAGACAAAATGCGGAAGCACTATATGAGGAAGTACAAGTATGCGCTAAGTTTTTTTTGGCAGTACATGGTATTACGGGGAGTAAACTTCAGTATTTACAAAAACAGTTAAAAATGAGTGGCACAGCTCCTAAAGATCGAAGGGGTGGAGTAAACTATAACAAGTTAAAGCCGGATGTTCTAGATACTGTCCGCTGCCATATTCAGTCTTTTAAAGCACGAAAGAGCCACTACAGCTTATCTGACAATAGTGCCAAAACATATTTACCTGAAACTTTGAATATAACGAAAATGTTTTCCATGTTTAAAGATAAATATCCGCTAGTTATAAAGTTTCTTATCAAACATACAGAGAGATTTTTAAAAGGGACTTTAATCTTAGCTTTGGATATCCGCGGTCTGATACATGCAGCCAGTGTGACGAATTTAACGCAAAAATGAAAGCAATACAAACTCACGATGGAAATGAAAATAGAGAATTTGAAGAACTGAAGAATCTTAAAGAACTTTATCTCCGTAAGGCACAAGCTTTTTATGATAGAAAAAAGGCATGCAAAAGAAAGGCAAGAAAACAAAATGATTTTGAAGCTATAAGCATGGATTACCAAAAGAATGTTTCGCTACCAAATATTACGACGAATGATGTCTACTATCGTCGACAACTCTCGATGTACTCCTTTAACGTGCAAGTTTTATCAAGTGCTGACTCGTACTTTTATACTTACCCAGAGTTTATTGCTAAAAAGGGCTCTGATGAAGTATGTTCGTTTCTTTTCCATTTCATTATGAATTATTTGCCACCAGAAGTCCGACATGTCCACATTTTCGGTGACGGAGCAGGATGGCAAAACAAAAACTACACCGTTGTAAGATTTATTCACTATATGGTTACGGTAGTTAAACGGCTTCAATCAATTACCATAACATACCCAGTTAGAGGTCATTCGTACCTTGAGTTAATTGCCTAATTAACCTTAGAAACAGAATGGAAACACCTACCGATTGGGAGGAAATAATCGCATTTTCTTGTATAAAGCCGACAACATTCCATGTCATTTCCGTATCTCAAAGTTTGGTGAGAGAATGGTGTAATTTTTTTAAAGAGAAATATGTTCAAAAATGTCCATTTGCGATGCAAAAAATGAAAGAAATATTTTGTATAAATACACATATTCGAACTATTTTCTATCGAGACTCGTACCATGGCATAAAGTTTAAAGATCCAATCGTCTCGTGCCCAAACCTAAATAATAAATTACAACCTTTCAATTCGAATTACTAGCCGATGCCATACCATTCATTTCCTATAAATGAGGAAAAATATAAAGACATACCTGTTCTAATCAAAATTTTGCGAATCCGAAGACGCAAAGAACTGTATAGACTCATTCTGAAAAAAGAAAACTAACTCAAATAAAAATCCAGCAATACCAGGGTTCATCCACGATAAAACCACCCATAGATTAGGTATTATTGGTAGAGATATTTCTAACATTGAAAGTTTAACAATAATAATTCACTTTAAGCATATTTTTGGGTGGAAAAAGAAGGAACCACTGAGAGCAAACCGAAGATCTGCTCAACACCGGGTTCATCCAGGGTAAAAGACATTCACTAGAATATGACATATCACAATATTGGAAATTTGATAAAATTCAATTCTATATTATTTCTAGATGTAAACAATAACCGTTCGCGGTGCAGTTATTTGGCGAAGATATAAAAATAAAAAGTGGCACTTCTTGTGAATAAAAGCACTTGCATGGAGACGGACATGGTTTCTCCGTTAAAAATTGAACATAACCTAGATTTTTTTGTGTTTATTAAGAACTATGTTATATACACGTTTAGCTAAAACTGGCATTTAAAATAAATACATGTTTGCAAACTGTGTATTTTGCTAATTTTAGCACATTCATTAAAGCTTTTATAATATATCAAACTTTAAATTCATTTCTCTCGAAAAGAATATTCTGTGACATCCATGGTTTTCCCCCGAGACCCTTCAATTAGCGTCTTAGACAATATTGGATTCTTAGTATATAAGAACAATGGCGTGTTAGTCAAATCAGCTCCAAAAGAATTATAAGATACTAGAATATAAGTTATTTTTATTAACAAGACAATTTTTGGTTTTAGTCTTTACTCTAAATAGTGTATTTTGTTCTTCTGTTAAATAGTATTTATTTTATTTGTTTTATTGTTAAGTTCAACACAATATACCAACCATACTATTATTATAAAAAATCTAAATAGAAATTACAAAACATATTATAATAATAATTAAAAAAGTGTTTGTTCTATAGTCAGTAACATGTGTACTGATAAACATTATAACGTAACAAACATATGAGACACTTTTATTAGGTTCTTAGGTTGGTACAGTAGTCCTCTTTTTCAAAA